CCGGTTTACATGTCTCACTCTGGCGAAACCTGTGAACTCTTGTGAGGAACAAGGTCGTCAAGCCATCATGTTAAAACCTGTCAACTCGAGAAGAGGCTGTCTAGATAGGTCGACACGTCGATGGGAAGTAGCAAAAGTGCAAAATGCCCCCCCCCACTGCGCCGGGAGAAGCCTTAGCGTGCACAACAGCTGATCCCTGCAGGGCCATTGTATAACATTACGAATTATACAGTCATAGCATAGTCACACTCGAATGCCACTACGATTCTAAAGAGGAAGTGCAATACGTGGCGCATCTCAAGATGGTACTGAATGAAACCCAACCTTGGTATTCTGATTTAGGTCTTGTTGGCATACCATGCATATCCCCGCCGTATCCGCAGCAGTTCCAACCAAACATCAAACCTTATGTGAGTTTTCTGTTTCTTTCTTTTGTATTGATCAAATAAAAATCCGACACTAAAACCTATACTGCCTTGTTCTCCAAAATTCAGGCCAGTGGGTCGGTTTACTTGGAAGTAGACTAGGCCCTTGGGGTTGCTTGAACTGTCCCCGCTAGTATCTTTTGGTCTCGTGGAATTTTTTTTTCTCAAATCCTAGCCTGAATTTTCAGACGAAAACGAGAAGGTAAACTGTTACGAGTTCCCCATTTGCCCTCGATGCCATTACAGAGAAAGGACCCGTCACTGAAAGATTGAGCATTCGTCCGAAGGACTTCCCCCCCACATGATCATCAAGGAATGTTGCGAAAGAACTTCAGGGCCAGCGTTCAGATCGTTCGCGACAGCAAACCGCCGCGTGTTCGGCGCGATCGATGCGCATGCTTTCTACTGCATCGATCGCGTCGAACGCGCGATCCAAGCACTGCCATCGCGAAGCCTGATGCTGCCTCACCTAAGCTTATTTCCTTGATTTCAGTGGAACCAGCATAACATGTATGGAGGTCGTGATTTCCGTCGACAACAGATGTCCACTCCTAATCACGTAGTGGAGAAACCTCGTGTGGAGATGAATCTACGATTGCCACAAATACGCACTGCCATTTCACAGCCGTTACAACCTGCACCGCAAGCACGACCAGTGAGTTGTGTCTAACTAGTCATGCACCATGATCAAGGGCGAAGGCCTCTGCATTACTTACACCTTCACTATGATCTTCTACTCAAGTCCTATAACGCTTAATGGGCTCGTTAATAAACAAACCCATGAAAAAAATTTCCTATTGCACCCGCTTCCTATCGCGGACCGTGCCTTTAAAGGCAGTAAAGGTGCAATAGGAACTTTTATCCGCGATAGGAAGCGTAAGTGCTGGAGGTGAAATGTGCAAGTGAAGTAGCCGAGTGACTCGTCCGAGAGTCCGTCTCGTCCTTTAATATGACCCCTTCAGCCTCGAACAGTTGCACGTGCAAAATGCCAAAAAACTACTTGTTGGGGCGACTCTAGTTTGCTGACTTAGTCTGATGAACCCTGCGATGCCACATGGGACAATCCACTTCATATGACTTGTCCGGTAGCATCGCTTTTGGCCGGAAGGCGATCTTTGAAGGCGGAGTCTGGAGGCGGAGTCACTGGAAAAAGGGAAGTACCACTGGAGCAATTTTGCACCATAACCCCTACAACTTACAACTTTCGGCCGTAAAACTGGCACAAGGTTGTTCACTGTGACCACACTACCCTCCCATAACAGTCTTCTACCTTTTCATAGGTCATCGCGGACCGTTCCTTTAACTAACCGATCTCCACTTATTTTAGCTTGAAATAAGTGGAGCAGTGAATCGCCACGAAGGGCAGCATGCACATGCGTCGCGTCGTGCACATGGCTTGAGAAGTTTGGTGAGTCTTCACATTGGATCAAATTGAATTTATTGCTTTGAAAACTATCTGAACGGGACCACGTCTTCTGGGTGATGAAATTTTGGCCCTTCAGGATAGTAGAAATGAAAACTGGCAGATGACCTTTCAGGCACTGAACCGAGATCCAATAGATTCGTTCGAACGTGCGTTGGGTGGCGATGAGTTTGAAGTCCGTAAACCTGTGGCGCCAATCCGAGTGATAAAAGTGGTAAGATCGCGGTCTCTTGTTGAATGAGAACACTTCTTCTCAGTTAGCTTATTGCAGGAAAGCGCCGAAGTATTGGAGCCAATGCATAGTCCGGGTGGTCAAGCAAGCAATATGCATGAACGGAAAAAGAAAATCCTCGAGAGTATCACTCGGCACATGAACCAAATCCATCCACCACGAGTGATTCCTTTCCAACATCGTCATGACGAAATCGAGAACGGGCGAGTGATAGCGCAAGCTTCAGAAGTGAAAGTCTCCCGAATCGAACCATCCAGCTCCATCAGGGAACCGAGCAGCCTGGAAATTGCCGACGATATCATCGACAATATTATTAGCAAAGTGGCCCCAACAAACACCACCGAGTTGCTGCAGAGTTTGAACGCCACTGAATCGGCCTCAAATACAACTGCTGCTCTGGATACCTCTAAAAGCGTGCCAGGTTTTGAAATGTCAGCAGAATTACACGCTAATGATACTAATTCACCGTTGGTGCAACTGGAGAAGATCGACAAGTCCTTGGAAGCGCTTGTGAGTTACTGAGCCTTATCTTGCTTTGAAAAACAGTTTGAAACTTGTAAAAACAGAATCCTCCATCTCGGGGAGTTAATAGTCTAAAGTCTTGAGAAATCGAAAAAGGTGCAGCTGTTCTGTATTTACAATAACAACTTACACTAAAGAGGAAAGAAGAGAGTGAAGGGAGCTGGGTGGCCAAAATGCCTTCTGGCATTGAGTAGAATTTTTGCAGTTCTCTCTCAAATATTTATCTTCCTGTACGATTGTCTCCCTTGAGCGACCGTATTTCAAAATTTACCGTCGTGCGGGGACGGTGGGGCAGAGATCTGCAGCTGTCAGAGACAGAAGTATAAGGGTATCATACTGAGGGCAGGGCCTATTCTGGCCTTGGGGGTATCCTTCCGAGCTACAACCATCTCATATTATTGTAAATACAGAGCAGCTGCACCTTTTTCGATTTCTTCCCCTCATCCCCATCCTGAACACCATCTTCTTGAATCTTCCTGGCTCCCTATCACTTTCCCAGTTTCTTTTTTCGAAACATCTTCGTTCCCCGGCACACCCTTCACCCCACAGAACCGCCGTCCAGTAGGGAGGGGGGATGTGATTGGCGGAGACGAATAGGTAAAGAGCAGACCTGAAAACGGAATTCCTAGAAAACCGAGTCAAGAAACAAAAACCTTTCCCTCAGAAGCAAGTATGACTCATTCCCTTGATCTAGCGATCAAAGACCACCCCTTTCGCTGGGGGTCCACACACTGTGGGTGCCTTGCTCGTCTGCATCCTCTCACCGAGGCGGTGGCCCAGCATTAGAGAGAGCTAGGTGAGCAGCGCAAACCCGCCCATCCACAACGAAGTCCGAAAGAAAAACATTCGGTCTAGGGGCCTTCTTCTACGTTTCTGGCCGTTTCTTTCTCTTTTCCCTCCACTTTGTGTCACTGACCTCCCACACTCTCATTTTTTAACTTCACTGCCAAAAATGGCAATCGTGAGACTTTCCCTAAGGCCGTGGTCCCACTAATGGAGCAGACCAAGCTGAAAGACAAGGTGGAACCTTTCCATTGGAATCGACTAGTTTCGTCAGAAACGCTCTGGTTGCCGGGACTTTTAGCCCAGAAGGTTTACTTAACTCAAGGAGCTCTGCACCAAATCACACCTACCTTAAGTAGCCCGCAGATTAGGGTAAAAAAGGACAGTGGAGCTTCCTTTGCAAGAATGGCGCTCTAAATCTTCAATTTCAGAGCACGGAGATTCAAGACTACGATACCGAGGAGGAGTGGCGATTATTCAGCAATTCTAATGGGAACAAGAAAGAGCCGCCTGTGGCCGCAAAGCGACCTGATACATCGCAACCACCCACGTCCACTTCTGCTACCACGGCAGCTTCTTCCACCACATCCGCCTCTGCTACCACTACTGGCTCACCGCCAACAACGGAAGCTTCACCAGAAACGACGACAACAGCTTCAGAAGATGCTGAGGAAGTCACGACGACCACACTTAGGTCAACATCTACGACGTCCACAACGACAGTGAAAGATTCAGCCGATTTGCTTTTCAGTGCGCATCGCGACCACAAAACCAATTTCAACGAAGACTTCAAGGCAGCTGTTAGGGAGCAGCAAGAAGAAATACTAATGGAAAGGAAGGAGGAAGAGAAGAAAACCAGCAAAACAGAAGAGAAAGATGGAAGAAGAGGAAATGGCGAGAGTGCGAAACCAACTATCGAATCCACGAGGAAAATCACCGAACTCAATTCAGAAACCATAAAGTCAATAAACAATGGTATGAAAGAAAGGAAGCGTAAGAAGCTGATCAAAACTTCCAAGCGGGTAGATCAGGATAAAGGCGAGGAAGTGGAGGTAAAGGAAGAGGAGGAACAAGAAAGATGTTGACATCAGCCAAATCACGTTGGACTCTCTAGAACAAATTTTTCAAGTGGAAAAGATGACAAGGAAAAATCTGCCAAGAAAAAAGATAAAACGAAGAAAAAGAAAGTTGAAGAAATTAGTAAATCAACAGTGGAATCTATAGAAGAAACCCCATCAAGAGGAGAAAATGGTAAGAAAAAAGAAAAAATAAAGAAAAAGAAAGTAACGAAGACAGTGAAGTCTGAACCTCCTGAAGAAGATGTCAGCCAAACCATAAGCGAGGCTCTCAACAGAATCTACGAAAGAATATTGCTTCGATTTCGAAGAGCTCAAAATATAAGGAAGAAAGCAGGGAGGAATCAGAAGAATCCGGCGAGGCTGAAAATGCAAAAAAGCAGCCGAATGGAGATGAAGAAGAGGAAGCAGAAGAGGGGGAGGAACCAGCTGGAGCTGGAAGTCAAGGCGATGAGGAATCAGAAGGATCCACCACATTAGAACCAGAGCATTCAGCGGAAGTCGTTATAAGTATCAAAGGTAGGAAAAAGGGTAGAACAATGAAACCCAAGAAGAAAAAAGAGCAATGGGAAAAGGTCGAGGAGGTGAGTGTTAGCTTGGAGGAGGAGATGGAAGCGACAACGGAAGAGCCGGAAAAGAAGACGGAAAAGGTAGGAAAATTTTGGACCTGTATGATATGTGACCTTCACCAAGATCTTTCAGAAAATTCTGGGAAGAAGAGCATCGCAAAGAAAGGGAATGCCAATGAATTAGAGGAACAGTCAGGGACAGCCGACACAGCACTCCAGAATCGTCCACACTACGCATTAAAATTGGAGGAGATGATACAAATGTAAGAGTGTCCTTGATTTTGTCCCTCATCTGAATCTTAAGCTGAAGGAGCGCTAAAACCTGCACTGCTAATTGACCATGTTTCAGATTCACACCGATAAAATAAAAGCGAGTTTGAAGGATGCTCCAAATGCGAAATACTACTATCCGCCGAAAGTTACGGTGCCCCTACCGTCGTGTTTCTACAATCCCTCAGGTACTAGTCGACAAACACTTCAACACACTATGAGGCAGCGCCTCAGACTTCGCGGTGACGCGCGTCGACGCGCTGCAATGCGCTGTCGTGCGTCGACGCACTGACGCGCTACAATTGCAACACCGCCTAGAGGCTATAGACACGAACGCAGCCGCAGACGAGAACCGATCAGCGCCACCCGCTTATGTATTGAGAGAATATGGCGAACGTTGCTCAGTCACGCAGTTTGGTATGAACCGGCACTGGCCACAAATTCGGCGCCGACTGCTGGTCCATCTGCGGCTGCGTTCGCGTCTATAGGATTGGAGCACTGTTGTAACTGGAGCGCGTCGACGCGCGTCATAGCGAAGTCTGAACGCTGTCATGCACAAGTCCAGCCTACGTACCGAACTCTCCAGTCGTTCGCTCTGAATTCGACTTGAAGTTCCCTAAGGCTTGTTTCAGGTTACGTCTGCTGCAACTTGCACCTGAACAATCTCATTGAAGACACATTTGAAATGATCAAGAATGTGAAAAGCTACAGCGCTTGCAATATCGCACGAATGGCTACCATCATTCAGGTACTTTAGAATTTCTATGAATCAATATTCCAGACACCGTAGTTACAACCCCAAAAAAGTTACTTGTATTGCTCAGAAACTGAAAAGGCTGTCAT